ATGGAGCACATGATTTGTTTTGGTCTCTAAGTTTTATTCCAAAATATGAGTAATACATTTTTTTGACAAATTCTGTAATGTTTTGCCTTTGTTTCTTTACAACAAATTTATCACAAAAATAACAGAATATGTCTGGGTCATTTACACAACCTATTGTTGCCATAGTGACAAATAAATAATATTGAAAAGAAAAAATAATGTCAAAGTGCACGCACAAACAAATACTATCCAGAAATGACACGTCATGTGGCCTGTTAACAGCCAGTGATTGTCAACATTTTAAGCATAACAAAATGTGACCCAATTTTGTGAAAAATTTGTAGGTGTTGGAGAAAAATGGATATCATTTTTAGCATACAGGAATTACTGTAGAACATGTAAAAATTACAAGACAATAAAATCATCACAGACCTGTGTTATTCAATAATTATTTGTTATGCCTACTTTTATTGTTTCAAACATTGCAAACTTATATATTTTGTTAATGTTAGAATAATAACAGAGTAGTTTCACAATGTTTAAAGATTCTAATTATTCTAGGAAAGTTAAGAAGCTATTACAACAGGACAAGTTAATCCTATTAGGCCATACATTAAAACACAAAATGACAAAATATATCAAAAATTCATTCAGTCTCTTCCCGGTAGTCTCCTTTGAAAACCATTTTATTGTTTATTTTGTCAAATTTTCTTAATAAGCTTTCTTTTCAACATCCTCAGGTTATGTTATAACTAGTATAATTACCTTCATCCATGAAGAGTTAGTAGGGTCAAGCCTTCCATTCATTTCAATGGTGTCATCCAAGTGGGGAGATAGAGCTCCAACCAACAACAGTACTTGACATCTGTGAACATGTTATAATCAAAGAATATTGATGTTTACTTGTTTAACTCTTTCAGTACGGACTCCATCCCTGGGACTGACCTCGTAACTTTTTGTGCTTGCTATAACTTTTAAATTAGTAAGCGAATGTCAATGAAATTTGGCAAATTATCAGTAAACATTATAATGCTTTCATACACAAAATATCAAATATTTTTATTAAGTCTTAAGGTTTGTAAAGCAATCTTTTTCTCATGCCTTTTTTTTTCTTTTTGCATGTTGCCTATCTATCATACAAAGTATATTTCATTTTAAGATTAAAAATACTTTTATGCATCAGAAAATTTTCAAATTTCACATGCAAAATCTTTATAATGTCCTGATAGTTTTCAAACATTTCTTAAGAAAAAAAAACTTTATATTTTATCTGTTATTTTCAGTACTTAATCTCTGTAAGGGTTTGATAGGTTTCACTGTGCTCGTAACTATCATAAAAAATTAGGAACTAAATTAGAATAAACACAAATTATAACATGAAAACATAAGTGTTTTGATTAAATACCTTAAATTTCATAACATTATACATTTATTATTTATATTATATTGACCTTTCAACCGTGTCTGGCTAACAATACAGTAGTTACAATGATGCGGCACACGTGCACTCATGTTACCTATCAAATAACATAAAACTGACCTTTGTCTGTGTTTTAGCAGACTAGTATTTTGTAAAATACAGTCACATTCCAATTATTATATATTATATATGTATACAGATTATTGTTATTTTGAAATAAGTTCTTATACTTATTTTTCTTAAAACATAGAACAGTAAATAAAGAAGTAAAGCAAACAATTATCTCTTCTAGTTATGACCTTTGTACTCAGTTGCTGGTTGATGTAGGTTGCTAAACCTTTAAAAATTTTGCACGACAGCAGAAGTCACGCGACGCTGGGAGTATGCGAGCTGGAGTTTCTAGAAGGATTGTGACTTATCAGGGAACCTCGCAAATGTCCCAGTATTTGCTAGATGCCCTCTTTTTTTGGTATTTAAATGCAGATAGAAATAATTGATTGATTCAAGCGAACAGTAGGCACCGTCAGTAAAATGTGTGAATTATAGTGTGTGTTTATAAATGTAGTTAAGTTAAAGTGACTGTGGAAATTCTGTGTATTGCAAAGTTGCATCGAGAAAGAATAAACTAGTTTTAATTAAGAAAGGACTTGTATCGCTGAAGGTCCTCCTAAAGAATTTATACCAGAAATTAACAAACGACCCGATATGTAACAAATTCGTGTAAGAAGTGGAATGGAAAAAAAAAGAGAAGAAGAAGATGGAAACGAGAAGTGGCAAATTAAACTACAGCTTAGCAGATTTGATGGCAGCAATACAAGAACAGCAAAAGAAACAAGAAGAGAGATTACAACAGTTGTTGGGGGAAAAAGAAAAGAAACAAAAAGAACGAAAAAAGAAACAAGAAGAGAGATAACAGCAGTGGCAAGAAAACCTGCAATAGTGGCAATTCAAACAGCAAAATAAACAAGACAGATTACAGCAGTTATTGGAGGAAAAGAAAAGAAACAAGAAGAATGAGAAAACAAACAAGAAAAGAGACTACAGCAGTGGTTGGAGGAGAAAGAAAATGAACAAGAAGAGAGACTACAGCAGTGGTTGGAGGAGAAAGAAAATAAACAAGAAGAAAGTGTTCAACAGTTGAGAGAAAGCCAGCATACACAAATGGAAAAGATGAGTAAATTTCAAAGTGAATTAAATACATTAAAGGATGATTTATTTTCTTTTACACAAGGAGGATATATTAGCCAATGGCCTAATCAGCCCCAGACAAGAAGAAGCCCCTTCCAGACCCAGCAGGTAAACCCTAATGCAGGCATCTTCAGTCCTGCCAGAAGTCACATTCCAGACATGAGTGTCAGCCATAGGGGTGATCTAGTATGAAGGAAGCCACAGGAATTCGATGGGAAGGCACAGTGGGAAGCATATAGACCACAATTTGAGCTCCTGGCAGAGATGAATTGATGGACAGAGGAGCAGAAAGCAGTATATCTGGCAATGAGCCTGGAGGAACAACCACTGGAAATACTTGGACAGTTGTACACAGATGACAGGCACAACTATGGAACACTGGTAGCTGCTCTAGAACTCAGGTATAGAACCCAAAATCTATCTGAAGTCTACAGGGCTAGGTTTAGGACGAGAGTCCGGCTAAAGGGGAGAGCCTGCAAGAGCAGGTAAAGGATTTGGAAAGTATGACACACAAGGCCTACCCAACTGCGCCATCCGATCTCCTCAAGTTGTTGCTGAGGGATCAGATGCCTTGGACAGTCCACAACTGAAGATACAAGTAAAGCAAGCACACCCCTCTAATATGCAGGATGCAATGGCCAGAGCTCTTGAATTTGAATCCTACATTAAGTCCAGCACAAAGGTATCAAGGTTGGTACAGTCATCAGGATTCCAGGCCAGAAAAGGTCAGCTTTCAGAGAAGTTTGAGGGACTTTTCTGGCACTGTAACAAACCAGGGCACAAGAGAGCTCAATGCCAGCAACTTCAATACGGGGAAGATGCCATGGCAGGAAAGGCTGCTACCCAGAAAGGTTGTTGGAACAGTGGAGAGCAAGGACATATGAGGAGCCAGTGTAAGAAGAATACTACAAATAAGTGAGCTTCAGGAAACCAGTAGTGGTTGGTGCTGAGGGACGCCCACCAACCCCCATTGTGAAAGTCCCAACAGCTAAGTGTAAAAATGGGAAGTACACATAGTGTCTACGTGACAGGAAAGTTGGATGGCCAAAGGTGCGACTTTGTCATAGATTCTGCATCTCAGCAAACCCTTGTGAGCATCAAGTTGCTGGATCACAAAGGAGTACCAGAAGCTGTACAGAAGTTTTGTGGTGTGACAGGACATTATGCAAGGTTGTGGGGACCAGTGTGGGTAACTATCGAACTCACTGGCATGAAGAACAGACAGAAAGTATACTTGGCTGACATTGAAGACCAATGCATATTAGGATTGGACTATTTACTACCGAGGAAGTGTGCAGTTAACTTCGATAAAATGGCGATTGGAAACAACAAAGGCCAAATTCTAGTAAGTGTTGCTGCATCTGTTGATTTGCATGTCACAGCGCTTAAGTCAACTACAATACCCCCTATGTCAGAGAAGACAATTTGGGGTAGGATAAAAGAACATCCCCAAGGAAGCCCAATGCTTGTGGAAGCAGTGGAAGACCTATCCAGGCCAGCAGATTTGAAGATTGGAAGGTCACTTGTAGCAGGTCCTCAAGTAGTACCTATAACAGTGGCCAATTTCTCTAAATTTGAACAGACAATTAAGGAAGGGGCATTGTTGGGTGTGTGTGCCAGGAGGTAGAGCCAGTCAATGTTAAAGCAAGAAATACAACTATAAAGAAAGGAAACACACCCAGAACATTTAACTGACCTCTATAAGAAGCACATAGTCCATTTGTCATCATCACAGGCTCTTCAAGTTAGAGAACTTTTGGCGAATTATGCAGGCCTCTTTTGGAAAGGAAATCATGACCTCGGCTGTACAGACCTTGTGGAGCACAAAATAAACACAGGCAATCACCGTCCAATAAAGATCCCTTTGAGGAGAATAACTCTGACAAAGCGACAAGAGATGGAGAAGGTCATGGATGGCCTAATTAAGGAAGGGATAGTCAAGAAATCAGATAGTCCCTGGTCAGCTCCCGTTATGTTAGTCCAGAAGAAGGATGGGACCTAACGTTGCTGTATGGACTTCAGGGCTCTTAACAATATAGCCAAAAAAGACTCATATCCACTGCCAAGAATTGATGATACTCTTGATGCCCTAAGTGGAGCCAGGTGGTTTTCAACTCTAGACTTAAAGTCGGGTTTCCATCAAGTGAAAATGGCTGAAGCAGATAAACCTAAGACTGCATTTAGTTATGGCCAAGGTCTCTGGCAATACCGTGTGATGCCATTTGGGCTTAGCAATGCTCCAGCAACATTTGAGAGGCTGATGGAAAGAGTACTGGAAGGCCTACAATGAAGAATATCACTAGTGTACCTGGATGATGTCATTGTGTTTGCAACAACGTTTGATGAAGAAATGTCCCAGCTAGAGGAAGTGTTTAAGCGTTTGAAAGCAAACCTCAAACTCTATCCCAAGAAATGCCACTTGTTCCAGAAAGAGGTGCTTTACTTGGGTCACATTGTAAGGTAAAAGCAGTGTGTGATTGGCCAATACCAGACAATGTGGGAGAGTTAAGAAGTTTCTTGGAACTCTCTACCTATTATCAGAAGTTTGTGAAGGACTTTGCAACTATAGCTGCTCCACTACATGATTTAACAAAAAAAGGCCAGAAGTTTGAATGGACAGTTTTTTGACAGCATGCTTTCAAGACATTGAAAGAAAAATTGGCCTCAGCTCCACTTTTAAGGCTTCCAAATCCCTCACTACCGTACATACTGGATTGTGATGCTAGTAATGTCAGAATTGGAGTGTTGTTTCAGAAAGTAGGTGAAAACGAACATGTGGTGGCCTACTTCAGTAGGGTCCTGAGTAAACCAGAGAGGAACTACTGTGTAACACGGAGAGAACTCCTTGCTATAGTAAAGAATCTGACATCCATACCTCTATGGGGCTAGGTTTACCATCAGGACAGACCATGCTGCATTACACTGGTTAAGATCATTAAAGAACCCAGAGGGATAACTGGCACGTTAGATCGGAAAGATAGACCAGTATAATTATTATATTGAATACAGAGAAGAAAAATCTCATAGAAATGCCAATGGATTGAGCCAAAGACCCTGCAAAAATGACTGCAGACATTGCTGCAAAAGAGAGGTTGAGCTAACCAGGTGTCATCAAGCTGAAGTCAAAGTGACTTAAGGAGTTGATGATGGTGAAGTGGAACCAAATATAGATATTGAAGCAGAACAGGAGAAAGACCAAGATTTGAAGCCAATATTTGATTTTCTACAAGCAAGTGTTTTGTGCCTTGCTTGGGAAA